TGTATAAAATTTGCATTTTACGATGCGCTTCAGTTTCATTTTATTTTCCCATGCATGGCGGACCATTCTTTGTTTAATTGCTTGGTTATCCTTATGCTAAATCTTACAAATTGTTGCTTTAGTTTTGTAGTTTTCCTTTGCTGCTTCTGAAGAAAAATTTCACTAAATTTCTTATTGCTTGTTGCTAGCGTTTTTATTATTTTGCTTATCCTAAGCCGTAGAAATGACCTTTGTATCGAGCGTATCTAAAGGTATTTTCATTCATTTTCTTGAATAATATTGAAATAGTTCCCAGTTTTTATTTATCTTGTTAAGCAGCAAGGAATAAAAAAGCTTTAGCGTTCAAAGATGGAATTCGAATAGAAGTTCACATGAAGCGCATGGTAGAGTTTACTTACTTCATACCTATGGTGAATTCAGTCGGTTGGTGAAGGCACTTACCGGTTGAGCGAACACCCACTAGGCTGCGGCCATCATCTCTCTTTCTCTTTTCGCTTATTTCTTGCTGACCGTGACCGTTACACGAATGAGGGACATTTCCTAATTGATTGGTCCATATCATAAAAAGAAGAGAAATCTTTAAATTAATTTAATAACATAATGGTTGACATTCTACTTAATTTAAAGAAGAACAAATTTCAGTAACGCAAACCTGTGCGACATATTGGATCTTGAATAGATTAAGTAATCAAAGAGAGCCTTAAAGGTGACATCCTTTTTTTTTTTTGATATTGGCATTTTATGATTTTGCGTCCTTTCCATCTCGGTCATCTAGACGATGAAGACGCTTATATTCTGCAACGTTTTTATGTCTCTTTGCTTACGATTATTTTATATCCCTACAAAACTTGTTTGGCGAGCGTATATTAAGTTTGTAAAGATGTATGTAACACGCAGGAGAACTTGAGATTGATTCGTTCTTCATTATACCGTCTAACTCAGAATCACTTCCTTCAACGATCGAGCATCCATCTGCCCTTCCGCTGTCCGTTCGGACTTTATATTTGACTATATTTGGTAGAACGTGTTTTTGCTTCTTCCTTCTTGTTGATTGTTTCGGGGTCTTAACTTCGTTGAGTTTACCATAATAGAATATGGAAATAGACCACTTCCATTTCATTGCTTGTGTAAGTCTTTGAAGCAGATAAACAACATATAAGAATGCTCGCGATCGCCAGACTTTCTTTCCTATGGGAAGTAAAGGTGGTCATAACGTTGCTGATTAAGCAAAGTGCAAACGCCATGTTGCATATTCATCTCTTTTTCATTAAAAGTGTTTTTTTTTTCGAAAACTTCAGTTTTAAGCGACCGGCTACGTTCCTCAAAGATTCCCAAAAGTAATCTTCTTACGAAGAGTAATCGTCTTTTTTTTTAGTTGGAAAGAAAATAATGCACATTTTTTCTAACCTCGGATTAAATTTTAAACGAATATAAGGTATGCAGCATTTTCTATTAGTTTTAGAAATTTCTTTGTGCGAAAACTAGGCTAAGCCAAGATGTTGCTTGACGCATTTATTTTCGAATGAGACGACTTTTATATTTTTTAAAATCAGTGAGATCAGAGGGTGAGCCCGATTTTAAAAGTACTTAATCGTACTGTAAATAAAGTAACTGTCTGAAGACTTATTCACATGACTGTGGGTACTTTGAAATCTAGTTCTGTGGGCTTATGCCCATTACACAGGCAAACCGGTTTATTTTGCTTTCGACGGAGTATCTTTGTAGATGTGTGCATCATATATGTAAAAGCATTTATATCGCAGTTCTACGTAAACCTTTCTTTCGTTTCACATAATACACTGCTTTATTTATGTTTATTGATATTTCAAATGCTTTTCCTTTTTTGGAATTTTTTTTTTAAATTTAAGCTTAAAAGAGTGGAAAATGTAAATAAAAAACTCATAATACTTAAGGCTTAAGCTACAGTTTTCTTTCAGTTCATATAATCATAACAACGAAAACACTAAGAGTCATAACTTATGTCCACACACACTATGTAGTGCATATTTAAGGTCAATTGGGTTAAATTTAAATAATTACACAGGACTTTGATTTTAAAGGCAAGACTACCGAAATTTGATCCTACGATTGACAGCACTTTTGATATTGACAAGATCAGCTGGACAACAGTCCAAAATGATTAACCGAACCGATTTACTGCATCAACTGCTACAAAAAAAAAAAAAAAAAACATAAATATATAAAACTTTTATAAACAATAAATTTTTTAAATGAACAAAATGGACATTTCACCTTGTAGTGTCTATAGTATACGCGTTTTGCAGCGAATTTCATTGGTAGAGATTCAAAATGGAAATATTTCCTCAAACTATGACTTCATATGATGTGTAGTGATCGTAACAATGTTTCCATTCAATTGCCATTCAATAAGCGTTCCTGTTATTAGTATAACAAATTCAATTTAAAAAAAAAAGGGAAATCTTGTGGTCTTTAAGTTGAATTCAAAAATAATTGATAGATAATTGATAATTGGACGGATGGACGAATAGACGGATGGATACCTTCCGTGTAATTCAATGAATTCGGGGAATCGTATAAGGAAAGAGGCCTCTATCTTAAATAATTTTCGATGTTGCTTACACCCGCATACTCTGAGCATATACACTAGACGTTACTTGTTGCAAGTGATGTAGGGTGTAAATATATTAAACATTGTAACCAGGCAAAGTTTTTTTTTGTTTATGTTCTTCATGCTTTGCGTGAAAAGAACATACGAATGATTTATAAACTTAAAGGGTGAATATCCAAGATTTGCTTCAATACGAATATAATTTTTATACTCGTTAGCGAAGATTGAGGAGTATATTCATTTTGCCATCAGGTTTGCAACGCTCACAAGGAAACTTTCAGAGATCTCATAAAGCATATGTATTTTTGATCGGCTTCGCAACAGGCATGTTTATCTGGCCGTCTGTCCGTCTGTCCGTCTGTGTAATGTGCGTTGTCAACACGATACTGGCTGCGAAAACAAAGCTATCGACTGTAAATTTGATCGAAGGACTCGCCTATGGTATCACGTAAACTGAGAATACCTTTGTTTTCCAAAACGAAAGGATATTTGATTTTTCACCCATTGCTTGCAAGCCACATCAGATAAATCTATAAAAATTTGAACGTATATTGCATAGACGAATACATCAAGTTTTTATTTCAGTCAGCCAAGTTTAGCCAACCAAGTGTAGCCAACCTACTAATCAAAACCCTTGTAAGGTGTATGCATTCTCGGCCAGTGCACAAATTTGAAATGCACCTAAATGCACCTCCGTCTGTTCGTCTGTCCATTTGTCTGTCTGCCTGCACAGCTGTATAGTATCTGTAAAAAAACAATATACCAAATTGAGAAAAACTGAAGATCATTTGTTAACTGAACATCATTTTCGAATTTGCAAAAGGGGCTTGAAAATAGCTCAAATGGAACAAAGGGTAGGCGCAAAAAAATGATATAAATTTTTAATTGTATCCCGCAACAATTTAGATATAAACGATAACGGTGCTGGGTGTAAAAGATTCGGTTAAAGGCGAATATAATTTTCTTGCTTGTTTCACTTGTGTTAGCTGAGGTATTTGTTTTTTTATGTTTAAGGCTTTAACCAAACAGATATCATTTAAAGTTAATACATGTGTGCATGTGTATGCATGTGCACTTCTTCTTCTTTTGTTTCGGTTTTCTTGTGTTTTTTTTGTTGAAATGCTTATGTACAAGCGCGTGTATATATAGGCACTTTTGCCAACAAAGTATATATTCGTTCGCATAATACTCTCGGCAATAATTTTGACCAAATACAGGTTTGAATTTATACGTTTGCATCTGAATGTTAATGCGTTAGTGCATGAAGGGAAATGTTAATAAACCGAAAATCTTTGCTACTATGTAACGACATACGTTGTATGTATGTATATGAAAATATGTATATATGCAAGGAAATGTAATACATAATATGTATCTATATATATATATATATATATACAGACATACATTAATCTTTCTTTTGGTGTGCGTAGCACACAACAAAACGCTCTCTTAGTTCTCTTCGGTTTGGGGATACATGCACTTTGAGTTATTCATATAAAAAATGTGCTCTCGTACAACAGTTAACTCTTGCGTTTAGTCGAGCCGGTTACCGTTTCCATCAGAGTGTGGGGCGATGGCTTGTACTCGGATTTTGGGGAAGTTGGGTTAAATACTTCAAGTATCAAATTGTTCTTAATTTAATATGCTTTTAGTTTTTTGTATCGCAACAGGCATTAAAATATATATATATATATATATATATGCCTTTGCTTGTGCAACTGAAAGCTCCTTTTGCTTTTCTTGGCCTCCATGTATTGTAGTTTAGCCGGTTTTCTGTATCACTTTGTTTTTTCTTTCTTGTTTTTTACTATTTGTATTTTGTCTTGCGTTTTGTTTGTCTGTTTTTGCATTTTCTTTTTCGCTCTACGTTGCCTTCGTAAATGAGTGCGAGTGTGTTCGTTATGTGTATCTGCATATATTCTCCGTGATTATAACCGCGTGGCTATGGGTGTGTAATCGTCAAAGTAATATTTAGAAGAGGAAGCGTCGGTCTGAAAAGGGGGTGTAGAGAATGAAGGAGGTGGAGTGCGTTGTTGTTTAACATGTTGTTGCTAGTGCTCTTGCTGTGCTGTGCTGTGCAGTGCTGTGCTGTGCTGTGCTGTGCTGTGCTGTGCACACATATTTCGTCTGGCTGACTTGTTTGGTTTGATTTGATTTGGTTTTCTATGCAATTCGCATGACTCAATGTTTACTTCATATACACTCTGTTCTCTATTTTACTCTGTTGTTTTGGAATCTGAGCACAATTTCGCTTTCTGGGTTTCTTGTCTGCATTTATATATATATGTATGTATATAGAAATGTGCATACAATATTTTTGTTGTATCGTTTGGTTTCGTTTCGTGCTTTATTTTTGCTTGTCTTTTTTTTTTTTCTTTTTTTTTTTTTAGTTTATTGCTTATTTTTCTTCCTTTGTATGTGAGAGTAATTCTTTATTTTTTTGCTGTGACGCTTTATGTATGTTGTTGAGTTTCTCTATTTTCCCCAATCATATGCTGCCTTTTCATTTGCACTTCGCATATTCTTGTAGCTTTTGCTTAGTTAGTTATTCGCCGATAATTGATGTCAAAGGACGCGTTGCAAGTAGCGGCTTACGGCGCGTATAATTAACAGGATAAAGCGCTTAACAATTAGATACAGGTAGATCTGATATAGGGCCTCGCTGATATGAGAGTTTTCATTCTAGAGGCTAGTAACAGTATCGTATTGTAGCCGCTATGCCAAAAGAGGATCCGTTCGTAAATCGGGCCCAATTATTAAAGGCTATAAAAAAATATCCTGAAATCTGGGACTCGAATAATAAACTGCACATGTGCCGTAGTGTAACAGCTCCCATGTGGAATGAAATAGCAGAGCAATTTGGCGGTCATGTGCCAACCGGTAAGTGTTTGCACTCTTCGTGTGTACACATTTTTCCATGTCGTTTACAACCTGCGCTCAGCTCAGTTCGTTTCTCTCATTTATTTTATCGACTCATTCTTGTTATTTCACTCGCTTCTTCTTCTTCTTCTTCTTCTTGTTTTTTTTTTTTTTTATCATACATTAGTAAAATTGCAGTCGATCTGGAGTCAAATGAAATATCATTATCATAATTTGGTGCATCGTCAGATTTTGCACAAAGAACGTTTTACCACAAAATGGGAACACTTCGAACCCATGTCATTTATGTACAATATAACAGTGGCCAAGATAGTAGGTACCAATAACAACCCGTCAGAAGTTAATGAGATTTCACCGAATGTACCCTCGCCGTTACCCTTGCCCCAATCGCAGGGTCGTGGCAGACCAAGTGGCAGCTTTACTTGGTTACAGTCTGTGGCTTCACAGTCCGAATTGAATGTTGAGGCTACACCTTACACAGCATTTACCGGTTTAGTACCACCGGCAGCTGTAACAGTTGAAACTGCCACTACACCGTCACGCAAGCCCGGTAGACCAGGTTCTCTGAACAATAGTATGCGCGGTCGTATTATTGATGCCATTAAAGCTAGACCAATACTATGGGCCGGCCGGCAAAAAGATCAAAACAATAAACAAGGACAAAATCGTACATCCGCCGTATGGAAAGAGGCAGCTATTGAATTGGGTCTCACACCAAGTACGTGTATATAAATACTTGATAACTCTTTGCAAAATTTTCATCAGTTAAAACATAAATATTTTAAGGTTTGGTTCAGACGCGTTGGTCTATTATTAAGCAACGTTATGTTGACGAATTACAAAAGGAACGTCACGCTTGTTACGCCCATGAAACGTTTTACTCTAATTGGGAACACTTTGAACGCATGTCTTTTATGCGCGATATACTCGCCAAAAAAGTCGACGAACGAGAGCAAACTCGTGAACATATACAGGAAATTGTCAGCGAAAAGCAACAATTACAAAATCAACAGCAACGACACCATCAACAACATCAACAACAACATCAAAATCATAGTGCACAACAAATACGTTATATACGCACAGCGGCAGGTAACAATATGCCAGCGTCTCTAATATTGCCATCCGGTGAACACCACCACCAACAACAGCCTGAACAGCATCAGCATGCACATCAATTGAGCATGTGCGATGAGAATGGTAGCGAACTGACAACTGCAGTGCACAGTGCCGCTGGCATTGTTGGCCTGTTGCCGGGCCAAGCAGTCGTAGCAACTAGTGCACGACGACGTGTCAAAAATGAATCTGACTTAGAATGGGATCCCTTTGAGATGATCCTACACGTTCAATCCAGCACAGAGGCAGCGAATAATTGAATTGATGTTTAAAACGTGACATGAATTTGGAAGACTGAACCATACATACATACATACATACATACATACATACAACCATACATATATATATACATAGATACATACAAAACTAAATAAATGCATAGATATATGCATACATATTTACGTACAAATATAAAATATATATATATATATATATATATATACAAATATATGTATGTACACATAAAATTAAAAAACAAAACCAAAACACTGAAATAATAAAGTAAAAAGGAAACAATCATCTTTTAATCGAAATTTACAACATATAAATATAGTAACAAATATGTTGGATGTTTATAAAAATGTGTGCATACATACAATTGTATATATATATGTATATATATATATATATATATATATATATATATATGTATATACATACATGCACATACGTTTAAATAGAAAAGCAAATGTGGCAGCTATGCCTTAGTTGTTTTTTTTTTTTTTTTTCTTCTTCGATTTTTCGTTTTATTCACAGATATACATAAATAAAGATACATTTAGTATCTAGTTGTCTGCTGCTGTAGCTGTGTTGTGGTCACGTATGTGCATATTATATGTCTATGCATGCATGTGTGTATGAATTTTTATAGCCTTAAAGTACTGATTGAGATTGAATATTTTAAAGAGAAAACTTACAATATTTTTTTTATTATTTTCATCTAGTTGTAGATTAGTTTCTCTGCTATTTTTTTTTTTTTTTGTTTTTTCTCTAATTTTTATCTTTAAGATACAAATTATTAACAATCTGTTTGTAAATGGAGAATCGATTCTCCACATCTCTCCATTGATGTATTTAAATATTGAAAAATGAATAAAAACTAATTTTAAAACTTAAAATTGTTCTTTCCTACGCTGAAATTCAATAAATTTTGGTGGGTTAGAGTTGACTTTTTAGCATAGATTCTGCAGTGATGGGCCAAGGTAACGCATTGGGTTGTGTCATATTCATCACATTTCTATACATATATTTAAATTATTCATATAAAAGTATGAAACGTCTGAACGGCACACGACACTGCAATGTTGTCCAATCTGATGAAGAGCCTCCTAACGCAAATATAAATCTATCCAAATGCTAATATCGAGTATTTATTTTCTATAATTTTTTTTCTTTTTTTTATATCTATACTCAGCAATCAATTGACTTTTAAAAATATATCCGAAGGGAAAAGGCCACATTATTGATTTGCCAAAATTTAAGAGACTGCTCTCGTGATTTTAACGGATACGGGGTTGGATCAATTGTAAACGCGTTCAGATTTTATATACGAAATAAACGAATTTAGGTATCTTTCAATGGAGAATGGCCTTTCTTAAATGTGAGAGTACATAGGTCGGCATACTGAGAAATCGAATGAGGTTACGATAAATGTTCTTGATCAAGTATGTATGTATATATTGAAAGAACTTTTTGCTTTCTATTCTATTAACACATCATCATAATGCGATATTTCTTTTAAAAGATAGTGTAAACGTTTTCTCATTGGATATCAATCGTATAGCAAGTAAAGTATTTGGTAAGTATAGATGTCATACGATTTCCCAAGTGAAACGCTTCGATTCTCTTGTCTAATTGAAATTAATGTTAATGTTTTCGTCGTCGCTGATCCCCCAATTACAGATACGCGTGAATATAACAAGTGCTAAAATTTTTAAGCAAACACATCCTACTAATAATTTCGATATACGATTACATAAGTATTACACTCAATAAACCAAAACAAAAAAAAACAAAAAAAAAAAAAAATTATGAAAGAAAACAGTGACAACATCAAAGTCGGATAACGTAGACTATTACATACCCTACACTACTTCGCCTGGTACAGTTGCTCGTTTATACTACTCCAAAAAGAAGGATAGACGGACAGACAGTTACAATTAAAGGTGAGTCAATGTTAAGCCCATTCTAGATGTTACATATAATACGAGAGTACTGACTTAATATAGCCTGTACCGCACGAGTGGTGTAGGGTGCAAAAAGTATGGTACATTTCTAAACAAATTTTAAGTTAAATACTGGATTCACTTCTACAATTTTACTGCACATTTTCCTACGGCTCTACCATATAATCATTTTATGATTTTAAAAAAGTCTTACTATCACTGTATGTATGCTACGCTTTATAGACATAAAATATATATATACTTACTAACATAAACGCGTTATTATTTAATTTTTCATTTTACGATCTATGCCTATGAATTAATATTGTGGCTACAATTTAGATAATCAAATAAATAATAACTAAAAACAAATAAGAACATTATAGTCGGGCAAAGTCGGTTATTGGATACCCTCTGCCTACTTCGCCTTGTGCAGATATTCACTCGTTTTGGCAATAATACATAAAAAAGCACACAGCATTTTCAAGGAAAGGCGTACTTTTTGAGAATGCAATAAAAATATCACGTGGCATGCGTGGAACGTCGCTTACGTAAACAATATTGCTCTTACATGCCTCTTGCCGCGAATTTTTGATCGTTACATTATATGTTTGTCCTGTTGGCACATTTCAAATTTGCTGACACTACGACTTTCTCTCTTTCTGTTCAAATTATCGCGAGGTTACGATATTATATTAATATAATAGAGCGAATTTTTGATTATTTGTTCAGAGTGGATAAAACAGACAGAGAGACAGAGAGAGGGAGAGACCGAGAGAGAGAGAGAGAGAGAGAGATCACTCTCGAAAGAAAAGAGATAAAGATCACTTAATGTGAGCAGCGATACGTTCGTACTCTGCAAATATTGAAAGAAAACGCTTTTGCACCGCAGCATAAAGTAGGAACGTTACTGATCTGGCGGATTTAATCTTATCCGTCTGCATCAATAAACCTCTACGAACAAGAGCATATTGTTGTGATCAACAATCTAGTTGCCGGCAGTATTGTCACGTGCTATTTAATTTTGCCCGAATCTACGCCAACGTTGAATACCTTTTGTGAGAAAAAAAGACATTCTAAAATTGATTGATTGATTGATTGATTGATCGAACTGAGAGGGAAGGTAATGTCGCTATTGGCAAATTAAAAAAAATTTTAATATTGATTTAATGTTGTAGCATTATCAATGCCCACTAATTAAAATAAGGAATGCGTGCAACAATTATTAGAATACGTTAAGAATGAAATCTTTTTATAGGTTCAATATTCGGTACTTCCATAGCGACAATTACACCCTTACATATTACAAGCTTCGTGTTCATACTTGCAATCACAATTTTATTTATAGATTATTTAACAGGAATTACACAAATTAAAATAACGAGTAGAGTCTGGGGAAACTTTTATCTCAGCTTTCCATGTTAGTGGACTACCCCTAGGGCTAATAATTGCATTTTCATTTAACGCGAATGCGAATCATTTCAGGAGAAGGCCTAAGTAGCACCACACCATGACCCAGTGTAATAGGAACTATTTTTCGATTTATGAGTGCATTGTGTTACGTGCTAAAAAGAACATCCACAAATATTGTTAAGACGTGCCAAGGATATATTCTTCTTGTCGCTCGCAGAGGGAGGGCATTCATTCTTTTAAAGACAACCTTTTCAATACTAACAACTTTAGTTTGTCTTTTAGCAGCGGCTAATAGTTATCTCTTAAAGTAATCATACAACAGAAGCAGTATGTCACGAGCTCCGAGCATACCCGTGGCTAAAAAAATATCAGTCAACATTATTCGATAATGCATCAGTTCATTGCAACACGAGAAACAAGAGCGTTTTCGAAAAAGTATAGCTCAAAGTTACACCGCCAACCCAAACCCCTCAGCACCGAACTGTCAGTTATCGTGGTTGCAGAGATTGCTCAACTGATAATTTTGAGATTTCGTAATCTCCGATTGGGATGGGTTTGTATTTGTTTACGTTCCCAGACAAGTGAGACAGATTTTCGTTATGATAAATAGTAACATTAATCGCTACCTTCCAGCCCTCAATCAGTGAATGTACAACGAATTTATCTGAAAACCTTCTATGTTTTCTTGTGATACCATCGCAAGGACATTTGTGAGATGAGAGTTCAAAGAGTGTATGAAATTTACAATGCAATCGCAGGCTTATAGACATTTTATATATCAAAATGCCAATGGATCTTCGATGCAAGAGTTGCGTTTCCATCAAGCTCCATGTATACGTATTATAGCTGCACATCTAATAATAATACAATTTTTTCATTAGGTTTGAATTAACAAATCCTGTTAGTTAATACAATCCTGTACTTACATTAATTGCGAAATTGTACTTGTTTATGCGATTTTCTTTGCGTTTGTTTGTTTTTCTTGAAAAACAATAACAACAAATAAGGGAAACTTTTAAAGAACTTTCAATACTGTTTATAATAAAATACGAATGACATCAGTATAATATATATGTATACACATATATATGTATATATATATATATATATATATATATATATATATGCGTGTGTGTGTACCCTTGTGTATGGATAATATGGGATGGGATAGTGTGGGTATGGTAAAAAACAGACGTAGTTCCATTACGGCATAAGTATAAATACATAACGCACACGTATGCGACTTTGTATATTTGTATGCATTCGTGCAAGCTATATACGAACGGTAGAGAGTAATTGCTTAAGCGAAAAACCAATATGAAAACCTGTTTTATCGCGTAACTTCTTTTTTCAATGAAGCGAACGGCGAAGGTGGAGTTACATACGGTACAACACGCTGGGTTTGATGGCAGCGAGGTGGCACGAGCGAGGTTAGTTAAGCCTTAGAAATGGTTTCTGCCTTGTGCTTTTCACCGTTTGGTGCTAAGTTGTTGTCACAATTTATGTGCTTTTTTTCTACATACATTATGATTTATTTACTCGGATCGCATATCATCTGTGCATAACAAATTTACTTAACATATATCTTCGCATGCAATTTAAATTGCAGGCTTTACTTAAAGGTACACAGTGCAAAAGTGCTTTCAAAGGTAAAGGTAAAGGCTCAAATAAGCTAATATACCTAGCAAAACGAATACATACACGAACAGCACATAGACCCATAAACATATATTTTAACCCGCATTCGTTAATATAAAAACTCATTGCATTGCATTCAGGCTATTGCGAA